TTCAACCCAAGTTCAACCCGAACTCAAGCTCAACCCGAAACTATCAACCAAAGTACTAGTGTGTCCAGATTTTCAATCTCGAGTTATACTAGGATTGAACCTGACTTATGCATAATTTTTAAAAATTTGGGTTCAACCCAGTTGCCTGAATAATAACATCAAGAACATGAAAAATATTCACAAGAAAAAATCAAATGAGTAGAAAGACAATCGAAAAATCATATTCTAGTTGAATTTTGTATAAATTGATTAATGCAAGGATAAAAAACTTCGTGAGTCACCAACATATCTACTTCCTACTTCTAGAAAGATGTTTGGCTTGGCTTAGAAACTATCCTATATGAGGAAAAAAATTCAAACATTTATTTAGTAGAAATGTAGAGATTGAGTAGGTTTTTTGAGATAAATGAACAAAATTGCACATCCTTCCGGCAAAATGAATAAACTCTTAGGAACCGGAAGTTGATCAGTCGCAGGCACTTTGATGTTTAAGTCAGTAAGGATGAGAATAAGCAAGATAATTGCAGGGAAATGAGTGTATACCTTAGGCTTAAACTTTAACTGGTATTTATAGGGATTTGTATCATTCTTCTATGATTTTTCTCATTGCCTATACAAGGTGGCAGACCTATTTTTTAGCCAAATCTTCCTTAATGTATTTAGCAAACTTTTCAGACTTCCTTTATTACTTGTTGATTCCTTAGCTCACATATTTCTAATGTGCACCTATGATTTAGACAATTTTCTTATTAGCTAATTAGCACTGCTGCTGGTTATTTGGGATAGCCTAGCTACCTTTTCGCTCAGTCTTTAGTTTTCATCACTGTTTAGGCTCCATCTTGTCAATTATCTCTAGTTTCTAGGGATGGCCTACCTACCAGTTCTTGTTGGATAGGGCTTATTCTTCCAGAAGATAAGAGTCAAAATTCTAGTCTCGTAGTATCTCTTTAAGAGCATACTTCATAAGGATCTACTTGGAACACACTTCCTTGTTCGAGAATGCTTTCCATCAAGCAAACCACTTTCAGCCGACTTACTTCATGGTTGGGCTTCTTTTTAATTTGCTCGACTTATCCGTAGGCTTGTTTGAGCTTCTCTTGTCTGGTCAGGGCGAGCCAAACTATTTTAGCAAATGACTTTGCCACATGTCCTAGTCCAGCTGTCACGCCATGGTTCGAAGGTTCTAAGAAAATTTTTCACGTGGCACACTAGAATACATTCTTTGTTACAATCCTTTCCCTCATTAATTACCTTGTATCGTTTATTACGAAAATGCACTACTTGTATCCTTTCAATGAAAAATGATCATCTACATTAAATGGTCCATCTTTCAATGCTCTTGGCATGATTTTCTAGCACCTCTTTTCTTCTATTTAAAGTGTCATCTTCCCCATTTCCTCACTTCTGCCATTCTTGACATCTTCAAGCTTCTACACTCTCAGAAACTATAAGTATTTTTTTCACCTTTTTTCTCCAATTTATTCTATTCATTTTTTTGTCCATGGATCCCTTGAAAAAAGTGCAATACCCGAGTTTAGATCCAAATACTCCATCCTTGATGATGCGATCATCAGGGTTGCAAACGAGGCTGAACCCTTAATGGGTTCTAGAGAGTCCATCCACATCCCAACTAGAGCCATAATGGAGGGTGGAGCTAGATTCCCCTTGCACAATTTTCTTCTTTGGGTCCTTCATGCATTGAATCTTTACCCCATTCAGTGTTGCCCCAACCTCTTCAGAATAGTCATGGAGGTTTCCACCTTAAACAACCTTTTGCGGACCAACCCGGGTCTCTGTGATATCCTTTATTGCTACATCATCACTCCTACTTCTAATAAAAACTATTATTTTCAAGTTAGGAAAATCAATCTTATATGGTCACCCATCTTCTAGACTCAAACAAGGGTCATGAAAATGATGTTTTGTTTGTTTCTGGTAATTGGGAACACAAAGAGGGCAATGAGCCTCAGTACAACTATCCTTATGAAGAGGGTGCCCCAGATGATCTTCAGTAATGCCCTCTTTTTCTCTTTTTCTTTTTCAGTGTGTGATATTTGAATATTTTTGTAAGGGAAACTGTCAAAGGAAAGGTCCTTGAATAGAGAGTTAATTTTGTGAATTTAAAGAAGGTTTGGGCATTTGGGGCTTGGGATACTTGGTGTCGAGCTGTTTACGTGCTGCTCGCTTACGAACCCATTTGTTACTCCTTCATTGTTGTGCCCTTCATCATCTCTGCACAACTTGCCGAATGCAGAGCTACTTGGGCTAGAGAAGTAACTTCATCAACACCACTGAGGAGTCCTCAAAGAAGAAGAATGGGAAGAGGAAGAGTTGCCATCAACTTTATCATTTGGTTCTGAATCTCGAGCTTTTTGCGACTCAAATCCTTTCAAATTTATTGATTCGTGTCCTTTACTAATCTCTCACCCCCAATAAATGTGTCGTATTCGTGCCCACCTAACTTCATCTTGGGCCGTCTTTATTAACTCCTGCCATGAAGCCTTTTTATTGCAGAAGTGTAACAATTGCCCTTTAGCCTCCACAAACTGCTTATTCAACTTAATTCAAAAATTTTCCACCCTCCGTATTCTTATTTCTCCTTGGGTTTTTTCCTAAGTGCTGCTTACTTTGTGGATTCATGGTTTCTTCCTCTACTTTTTTGTTTAGGCAATGCGCTCGAATCATGATTGATGACATGTTGTGTTTATGTTTCCTGCTATTATTATTGCACCCGAAGTGGAGGAGATTAGGAGGCGACACTTTTTTCCCCCAGGCTTGACCATTCGGGTTCCTACCCCAAACGAATCTTGCAACCTCTTTCTTTGAAGGGAGGTGAGCATTTTTTAGGGTGCCTTCGAGATGGAACTTGGTTTGCCCATCCATCCAACCATAGGACAGATTCTTACCTTTTTTAGGCTCTGCACTTCATGCCTTTCGCCAGAGGGGTTGAGCACCCTTGTAAGCTTCTTCATTTTCGGGTGCATGCAAGTCCATGATCGTTTTCCCATTGTTTCTGAGTTTCTTTACTTCTTTGACTTCCTTCCCTTCCATTCTCGGTTGACGTGGAGGTGTCACATTCCCACGTTGGTCATCGATGCACCTGGCTCTGCCAAGGGGTGGTTGCAGTGTTTGTTCTTCATTTATGGGGATTCTTAGGAGTCTACTAAAGCGCAGTTTGAGAGTTCCCAAGTTCCTCGCCCCTAGGGGCACACCCTAGACAGAGGTAAGTGATTAACCCTAATTAATGCATAATTTAATTAAGTTAATAGGTCAATTGTGTTAGTTAAACAAAAATAAATCAAATTAGGGTTAGTGTGTGAATTAGGGATAATGCTTTGATTTCTATTCTTTTCAGGGTTTTGTGCGTCAAAGCTACCAACTACTGGGGAGTGCCAATTGTGTCAAAGCTACAAACTATTGGAGGGCAATTATCAAAGCTATAAATTATAGGGAGCCAATTATCAAAGCTACAAACTATAGGGTGCCAATTATTAAAGCTACAAACTATAGGGTGTCAATTATCAAAAGCTCAAAAGGGAGGGGGATCAAAGTGTAATTCAAGCCCTCCCTTTTTGCCTACAAATACCACCCATTGGGTCTTGTAAAGATCATTTTTTTTTCTTGTATCATCTTTCTTGTAAAGAACATCTTTTAGTAGTGAAAAATCCTACAAAAGTCATTATTACTTTCTTGTATCATCTTTCTTGTAAAGAACATTTTTTGGTAGTGAAAACCCTCCAAAAGTCATTATGGCTTTCTTGTATCATTGCTTTCTTGAAAAAAGCACCTTTTGGTAGTGGATAACCCTCCAAAAGTTATTATTACTTTCTTATTATTGCCTTCTTTTCTTGTATTATTACTTTATTTTAATTTATTATTTTCTTTTATTGTATTATTACTTTCTTTTAATTTATTGCTTTATTTTATTGTATTATTACTTTCTTTTAATTTATTGCTTTCATTTATTTTCATTTTCTTGAGCTTCCTTCTTCCCTTGGAGGAGTGAAACTCTTCCACTTTTTTAGAGCTTTACCAAAGCCATGAAGGGTGAAACGTGATTCACTCATTCTTTATTGAAGATTGGCTCCGTGTGTAATATGTTTTACCTTGCAATTCCTCTAATTGGAGGGATGAGCATCACCTATTTTTCTAGCTTTACCAAAGCCATGAAGATTGAGTAGTTTCTCATCCAATATTTAGTAAGAGGTGATAAACATATATAATTATCTAGAAGTTATAATTGTGCATTTCGTTTATGCTTAGCTCCTATCTTCATTTCTTCATAATGTCTTCTCATTACATTATTGTCTTTACCTTAAGCATGAGTAGCTAAGCCTTTAAGTTGGCTAATCCAAGGAAGACCTCTTCTTGGGTATGCCATTTCAACTCATTTTCTTTTCTCCTCTCAAAGTACGATGGTTTAGTTTGACTAGGTAGAGGATGGATGGGATTGTGAGTCTTTGATATCCCGTGGACTTGTCACGGTTTATGCTTGGATCCTCACTTCCATCTTGTCCCTAGCTTCCCACTAATCAATCGTACATCTATGCTCTATTGGAGGAAGGATTCAAGTTGACTTGGTAATCCCATTGGAGTGAACCCTTTGGATTAGCCAACATTTTTCCCATTCCAATTTCATTAAGACAAAATCACAAACCAAACTTCAACAACAAAAGATTTTACACTTTGTTTTTCACTAGAATCACCTTCAAAATGATTCACCTCCTTCCCTGATGAGACGACCTTGGAATACAATTCCAAGTAAAATAGGACAAATAAAAGTCTCTCTACGCTTGGGGAACATTTTTGTTCACACACACACATTTGACATTTCATTCATCCACTATTTTGTTGTCCTTTCTTTTGACATCATTCTACGGGAGAATGACACTCCCCTCCACACATATACTATACGCATTGAGGGATGATGTTTAGAGGTTAGGATATACTACAACAAAAACAATCAAGCAGTAAGAAAACAACAATTTTTCTCTTTTAAAATGAAGAGCATTCCCACTTCGAGGCTTAATGGTTTTTGTATTAATGCAGATGGTCCCGGGTTAACCCCTGAAGAGATTGTCAAGGTCTGCAAACTTTGTCGTGTTGAGGTGGCTCCCTTCTATACCCTTGTTATAGCTTAGAACCTTTTTCGGTTCGGTATTGGTCCCGACTTGACTGTTAATCCTGCTGCTGTTCCGGCTCCTCCTCCCCTCGTCGTCGACGTAGACTCTTCTCAAGTTGGCCCGGAAGAGGACACTACTATCTATTCAAGGAGGGGGAGGAAGCAAAAAGGGGATCCTTCATCCCTGCAGCTATTAGACTCCTCTTTTGGTTAGATGAGGTTCACGACTGGTGAGTTGGAGTTGGCATTAGGGAAGGCGGTGCTGAAAAAGTATCTTTTTGAGGCTGAGAAGGAAAGGGATGAGCTGATGGCTGAGAATGCTCAGTTGCGAGCAAAGAATGCGCGGCTAGGGGAGGAGGTCCTAGAGTTGAAGATTGAAAATCCCTGAGTTTCCTTTTAAATTTCTTGTAATTTCAAAATTTACTAAATAAAATACAACCTTTCCCTTTAATTCTTCATTTTTCTTTATTTGTCGTCGTCCTGATCTGGAGAGCTACTAGGCTCAAAATCCTATTATAACATGCGTCTTCAAAGAGTTGAAAACTCATTAAAGGCTGAAGGACCAAGCTAAAAAGTTCTTAGGTTAGGAAGCCTAGTCGAGGTAGCGTAGCTGGAGAACTCGCGACTTTGGGGGAGTTGAGAAACTCCTTGAAGGCAGAAAAGCCGAGCTGAAAAGCTCTTAGGCTAAAAAGCCTAGTCGGGGTCATGCAGCTGAAGAACTTGCAGCTCTGGGGGAGTTGAGAAACTCCTTGAATTCTGAAAAGCTGAGCTAAAAAGCTCTTAGGCTGAAAAAGCATAGTCGAGGTCGCGCGGCTGAAGAGGTCGCACCTTTTGGGGAGAGTTAAGAAACTCCTTGAAGACTGAAAAGCTATTAGGATGAAAATCGAGGTAGTAATACTAAAGAGCTCGCGACTTTGGGTGAGTTGAGAAACTCCTTGAAGGCTGAAAAGCCTAGTTAAGGTGGCATGGCTGAAAAGCTCACAACTTTGGGGGAGTTGAGAAACTCCCTTGAGGCTGAAAATTCGATTTGAAAAACTCATAGGCTAACAAGCCTAGTTGATGTCGCACGACTGAATAGCTCACTGCTTTGGGGAGTTGAAAAACCCCTTGAATCATCCATTGTACAAGTTTACTGGCTAGAGTTTCAAATTTCATTGATTGAGAATTGGATGTTTACAATTACTTTTCTACTTTCACACCATCTTATTGTTTATGATCCTATTGGTAATACCACTTCAGATGATCTGCGTTCTATGAGTGTTCCAGGTCCTTTCCCTCTTAAGTTTACAGCTCGTAGTTTCCAGGTCAGATCACCCTCTTCACAATGTATGGCTCTTCCCAATTTGGATAGAGTTTTCCATGTGTGGGGTCTTTCCTTGCTAGAAGTAGTTTCTTGAGGACCAGATTTCCAGGCTTGAAGCTTCTCCTCCTCACTTGCCGATTGAAGTACCTCGCGGTGTTCCTTTGATAAGAGAAGATCTACTATAGCGTTTAATCTCTTCTTTCATCTAGGAGATCATGGTTGACAAGCAAAGACCTATCGTTCTACTCAGGATCAACGAGCTCAGTCCTTACCGAAGGAAGCCCAACTTCGATCGGGGTTACGGGTTGGTTCTAGCCCAAGACCCGGTCCAGCCCAAGATCCAAACCAAAACCGGTCCAGCCCAAGACTCAGACCAGACCGGTTCAAGGCTGGTTTGGTCCACTTTAGGCCGGTTCAATCCTGATTTGGTCCACTCTAGTTTGGTTCAGTTAATTTGGCACCGGTTCAGACCGATTTTATCGACTTTCACGCCTGTTCAGCAATCCAGTTCATTTTTCTTGATCAGTTCGGTGATCCAGCAAGGCTTTTCAGTCCGGCTCAGCGGTCCAGCGAGGTTTTTCAGTCCGGTTCAGTGGTCTTCTCTTGTCTGCTCAAAAGTCCAGCTGTTTCCTCTTGCTCCGTTCAGGTGTCCAGTAGTCATGTTGTTACTGTTTTACTATTTGCTTGCTCCGTTCAGTTATCCAGTAGTAAAGGTTGAAAGGGGTCTCATTGGTGGGAGTCCACATAGTGGTTTAATAAGCCCACAACACCGTCGAAAGGTGATCAACCCATTGGGCCTTAGAAGTTTCTAGTTTTGTTTTCAGCGCCAGCTTGATAGTTCGGATGGTGCCTCTGCTAGCCCATTTGACTGCGGGTGCGCAAGTGTTGAGAAATAATTCCTAACTCCTAACTCCGTGCAGAAACCTATGAATCCTCGATTGTCAAACTACTTTTTATTGTCTAAAACCACCGCTCTTGGGATGCCAAAATGGCAGATTATTGATTTTCAAACAAAATTCTTCACTTTCTGCTAGGTTATTTTTGATAACGCCTCCTCTTCTACCCATTGGCAATGTAGTCCACGACAACTATGGCAAACTTACACTGCCTTAATGCGAATTGGGAGAGGCCCCAGAATCTCCAACCCCTACTGCTAGAAAGGCCAAGGGCTGACAACCGATGTGAGTTGCTTAGGGGACAATGCGACAAGTTCCCATGGGTCTAGCATTCTTGGCACTTCTTCACTATCTCTTTAGCATCTTTCACCATCGTGGGCTAGAAGTACCCCTGTGCTTTACTAGCAAGAGTTTGTACGTCGATGTGGTTCCCACAAATGCCCACATGAATCTCTCTCAGGGTATAATTTGCCTCAAGCTTAGTGACACATTTCAACAGAGGAAAAGAAAAGCTTTGTTTGTAAAGCTTACCTTGCACCATAGAGAACCTTGATGCTTTGCTCTTTAACTTAGTTGACTCCTTTTTGTCGAGTAGGAGGTGTCTGTCTTGTAGAAAGAAGATGATGAGATCCATCCACAACGTGGTCTCATCAACTGGCATGACCTGATCCTCGAGCTGGATGCTTGGCTCGAGCAAGACCTCTACGGGCGTTGTTCTAGGAAAATCTTGTTGGACCGTAGTAGCTAGCTTAGCCAGTTTGTTGGCTCGACAAAATGCTTCTCGAGGAATTTGGACGAGCTCAACGACCACAAATCTTCTCAAGAGGCTTCACACCTTTCTCATATATAGGGCTATTTTTCATACTGGACCGCATACTCTTCCTCCACCTACCTGATTACTAGCTAAGAGTCACTATGGATAATGATTTGTTGCACATCCATTGATAAGGCTTAGTTCAGGCCAACTATAAGGGCCTCGTACTTGGCCTCATTGTTTGAGGCCTGGAAGTTGAATCTCGGTGCGTACTCAAGACTATATCCTTCTAGTGAGGTTAGGATAAGGCCAGCCCCACTCCCCATGGGTGTTTGAGGCGCCATCTATGCCAATTTCCATGTTGTGACGTCGGTGACAAGATCAAGGTTTTTTGGTTGGTCTTCGGATGGAGGGGTGAACTTTGCTAGGAAGTCAGCGAGTATCTGGCCATTAATTGTTGTCCTTGGTTTGAACTTGATATCGAACTCGTTGAGTTCCATTGCCCACTTTACCAGTCTCCCGGATGCCTCAAGTTTATGTAACACTTGTCTCATAGGTTGATCGATCGGTACTTTAATGGTGTGTGCTTGGAAGTAGGGTCTTAGCCTTCTAGCGGCAACGAGGAGGGCTAGAATGAGCTTCTCCATTTTGGGGTATCTCTCCTCGGCTCCTCTGAGGGCTTCGCTACAGAAATAGACGGGATGCAGTACCCTCCATTGTCCTTTACTAAGGTTGTGCTAACCGAGAATGCAGATATGGCAAGATATAGGGTTCGAACTTCCACCTCGCGCGGGCTAACTAGCACTGGAGGAGAAGCCACGTACGCCTTTAGGGCTTGGAAGGCTTCCTCACACTTCTCATTCCATTGGAAAGTGGCCTTTAGTACCTTGAAGAACGACTAACACTTGTCACTGGGGAGTGAAACAAACTGATTGAGTGCCGCAATTCTCCCGGTGAGGTGCCATACTTCCCTGGTGTTAGCTAGTAAATTCATTTCTAGGACAAAATTTACCTTCTTAGGGTTTGCTTCGATGCCTCGTCTGTTGACTATGAACCCGAGAAAATTCTCTGTCGATACTCCAAAAGCGCACTTGGTTGGATTCAGCTTCATCATGTATTGGCGGATGATTTCGAATAACTCTTGGAGATACTGGATGTGGAGTTCGGATTTAAGATATTTGACTAGCATATCATTGATGTACACTTTCATTGTTGAACCAAGCTTCTCCAAGAACATGCAATTAACCAGCCTTTGGTAAGTGGCTCTGGCGTTTTTCAACCAAAAAGGCATGACCTGGTAGCAAAAAATCCCTTGCTCCGTGACAAAATAAGTATTTTCTTGGTCGTTAGGATCCATCTTGATTTGGTGCATCCATGAAACTCAAAAGCTCCTACCCCGTCGTGACGTTGACTATAAGGTTAATCCTAGGCGGGGGGAAACTATCCTTGGGGTACACACGGTTCATGTCTGTGAAGTCGATTCATAGACGCCACTTTCTATTGACCTTTTTAACCAACACCACGTTGGCTAGCTAGGTCTGATAATCGACCTCCTTAATGGCCTTCGCTCGCAACAATTTGGCCACTTCTTTGTTTTCTGTCTCTCTGGGGTGAAGCTCTTCCTTTTTTGCCTGACAGACTTGCAGTTGGGATCTACGCTGAGTCGGTGCACTATCACCCTGGCTCCTGTCCACATGGCGCGATTGGGTTATATCAAGTCAGCTTGGTGCCGAGCTCAACTCCTTGAGAAGATGCCGATCACCAAGCTCATTGGGGGCCAACCTAGGCAATGGTCTGGGCTGGTCAATCTTGGGCTTTTCATGGGTGCGAGGCTGTGGTCTAGCCCAGACATGAGAGATGTCATCCAGAAGGGCCACCTGGATTGTCTTTGAGGAGCCCATTGGAGACTTTGGACTCGAAGAGGGGCCTAAACTTAAATCCATCATCATCAAGTAACATATCCTTGTACATAAAAAAATCAGGATCCATTGTAAATAAAAAATAGATTATGATTTGTTTGGTTTTAAAAAGTTGGAAAATGAAAGGGAAAGTGATTTAATAATAGTCATTAAAAAATCCGTAAGAAAATTCAACTATATAGTTTTAAAAAAAATTAAATTTCTAAGAAAATTCTTTAATTACCTAAATTGTCCTCAATTTTGGTTCCTTTAAAAAAAATTAGGAATAAACATGATACTCCTGAGAAAATTTATTTTACAATTTAAAGAGAGAAATTCGTAAGAAAGTACTTTTACTTGACTAAATTGACTATACATATATTAAACAATCATAACGTGCATAATTCACCAGTTTCCCCTCGACTAAAGTATATGTCGGGAAAATAACTAGCTATGGATTTCTTTTCCTATCAACCATCACTCTTTTTCTCTCAAGCCCTGCTCAAATTATTTATCTATTTTTATATTTACCAATTA